GATTTGATTTGATATTCTGCTCATTCATTAAGCATCACAAATTCATTAGTACCAATTCGTTGGTATTAAATTTGGATGGATGACATTGAATTTCCACTATTTTCATTGTTCAACATAGTCTTTTTAAACAATGTTGAGGATTTTTTATATATGAACTTTAGCTCTTGCATGAGACAATGTTTTTCATTTGACAAGTATACTAGTGCTTTGAATTTTCAAAATTTTTAGGTAAAAGTATAGTGTTTTTATACACTATTGAGGATGTTGTATTTGTCTGGTCATAGGTGATAAATGGATAAAGATCAAATTAGTGCACCCCTAATCACATTTTAGTTTTCTTCCATAACTTTAATTTTATTTGTAACTATTTGTAGGAGTGGTTGTGTTGTGTTTATACTCAAGTTTGCGGAGGTTCTATAGATGCATGCAAATGGATATCTCTATGGTCGATCTGTCCACCAAAGGTCTCAGAATATAGGGCAAAGTGGACTTGTGACCTCAACCAGCATGGACACTTAAAAGGCAAGGCGGGATAGGTCCCCAAGGTGCAACTGAAGAAAGAAGTCCTCAAGTTACTTAAATGTGTTTATTGGAAATTGATTGACATTTTTGGAAGCATCAGATATTGCTATCAATTTAGTGTCTTAAATGAATACTATGTTTTTTCATTTTGTCATATTTTCTATATACTTCACTAACTTGGACGCAATTCAAGAGTACCTATGTTTTACCATGTACATTGGCCTAATACTAATGCTTGGAATTCAAGAGTATCTATGGGGGTGTTTGGAACAGATTCTGTTTCTGCTTCTCTTTTAAAGCAGAATCAGAATCAGTTTTCAGAAGCTGGTCACCCTTAACTTCTAAAAAAACTGATTCTGGGAGTAAATTAGAGTACCAAAAGTATTTGCATAAATTTTGATGCACATTGCTTTATGGGGCTGTGTTGTTGGCTTCACAGGGAATGTCCGCACAAATTATTAGAAAACCTTTATGGTACAATGAACTTATTTAAAAAGTACGCATCTTTTGGGATACATACTATCTTGTGTTTTGAACATAGTTGCAAACTCTGAGATTTAATCACACTGTAAGTTACTTACAATCATTTAACTAAACAAGTCAACTGCATTATAGTCACTTAAATAACTCATTTAAACTTAACAGGCACTTAACAGCACATTAAGTAACTACGAAATCCTATGTCCTCTTCTAAATCATTATCCACACCATACACATTAAATTTACTTTTACTTTTAACATTTCTGACACAAATGTCTATATGCTCATTACAATCAAAATTTAATGAGATCTGTTTATTTCCATTTAGATGCTGATATCATATATGAAAGAGCTAATATCACCATATAAACGTCCTAGTGATTCACTACCAATACAATGTCAGTTCTTTATTAACCAGTACATTCTCACTTATGGGTTCTTCTTCAGAAGTGATAATATATCCTGTCTCAAGTTTCCCTTTCTTTCTTACTCCAATATTACTTCACTGAACTTCAAAGCACATCGGGAATGCTTCCACTTTATCACTCACATTGCCCTTTAGTTGTAAGTAAAGCTTCCACTTTATCACTCACATTGCCCTTTAGTTGTAAGTAAAACCGAAGGTTAACTTCATTGTCAATAATTGCTGGTGTAAATGACTCGTCAATATATCAGCTGGCCGGTATGAGATGCGCACATTCTTGACTTCTATATCACAACTTATGAAATCCCCCACTTGTACTATGAGAACTCCATACGTTGTCAAAGAGTTCACAATCAAGCCATGTATGTATCTTTGTTTTAAATTCCTTATTCTCATTCCACCGATGTCCTTTCAACACTGTCAAAAACAAAGCTTGCATCTCACTGAAACAAAACAAAACAATTATCTCTTCTGTCTATTAACTACTATTCACACTTGACAAAATTCATTTTTTCTTATTATTAAACAACATGATAAGTAACTATTAATACACATCCATTGCCACATAGTAAGTTAGCTTTGTTATGTACACAGTATATGTTATCTACAAATCCTAGATATCACCTACCTTGACATTTTTGTACAAACCACACTACATTTATAGTTCTAAGTTACATTTTCTTCTAGTCTAATCTCAGTTAATACCCAATTGTTAATGATATTAGTTATTCAAGTAACTACTATAACAGTATGTATAAAGTGACTACTACACTACTTCCCCTTTACTACTCATTAGTCACTCCAGCTACATTACAATCTACAAATTACCGCTGCTTGTATTGATCTCAAAGAAGACATACGGATAGCAACAAAACAATCACCACTAATATAACCTATCAAAATCATCAAAAACATGACAAGCAAGGAAAAAACATGGGGAAGTGGGAACACAAAGTACTTAGAGGGGAGCCTCTTGAATCAGATAAGGACACACAAACTTGAAAGAGAATAAAAGTATTGGAAAATGATTTATGATGAGGGGAAAGTGATCGAGAGAGGCATCCTAGATAGTAAGAAAAGGATTTAATATTTGCACTAACTATTTTGTACGTGGGAGCATCCTTGTTAGTACGAAAAGTGAATACATTACTAAGGGAGCTTGGTAAAAGGGAGCTTCTCATTTGTTTCATTACAACCCTCAAGCCCATTAGTGAGTGCAAATAAGTCATAAAATAAACTTGTTTAATAGATTGAATGATAACCTCAAGAAGAAAAAAATTAGAAGTTCTATACTCGCATTGCTAAAAAAACATTCAAGATTTGACACAAATATATGATTAGGGTGTGATCTTGTCCATGCAACTAACTCAACTTTTCCAAACCTTAACTCAAAAGTACTTAGGAAGTAATTTTCTTACAAGAGAATTTCAGTAAGATAAACAAAATTAAGTTTCCCAATGTACCCTTGTGTAACAATAGCATAGCAAAAAAACATATATAATCGTAACACTACATGAGCTCAATCAATTACTCTAATGTAGAGTGTGTGTAAATAGCAAAAAGTTACATCCATTATGTTACATGTGTTATAAATGTGTGTGAATATAAATTAGTTAGCTTACCGCTGCACAGTTAAAAGCTTACAGTTATAAAGAGTTGTTAAAATTGGACTGCCGGAAGAAAGAATCAAGAAAAAGCACATATCTCAAAGAGGAACCCAAAAGGTAATACAGTTCATGGTGTAAATTGCTATTTGTCTCGGTCTCAGCATCCAACGTCTACTAGAAAAAGAGCCTACAGTGACACTAATTTAGTGTCGCTGAAACTTTCTGCGACACTTAAAAAGCGTCGGGGAAAGTGGCGGCTAGCGACACTAAATATAGTGTCACTGACGAGGGGACGGTTTTGTGTCAACAAATAATGACACTAATTTGTCGTCTAAAATAGCGACATTTATGCATCAAGAACACATTGTGACATTAATACATCACAAAATTTAATGACACTTTAGCATCATAGATTTTTGTGACACTTTAGCATCATAAATTTTTATGACACTTTTAGCATTATAGATTTTTATGACACTTCAAAGTCACTTGGCTGGTTTTGTTTATTGGGCCTATTAGGCCTAGATTTTACTATTTACTTCATTCATAAATATTATAACATCCAAAAGACTAGATACCAATCTGTCTCATAACATCCAGAAATCAATGAATACCCAAAACACATCATTTAACATATAATATTAAGTAGAAAGAATGGCACACGTATTACTACTGGGCTTTGAATAGACAAATATGTGACCATGTTCTGATTTAGACAAAAAAAGAGACTTATTTTAACTGATCCGACAATTATGTCCCTGCTTTATAAACCCGTTCCAGGCCATCTGCTATTCTGCGATGCTTCATCGCTCGTGTGACTCGTATCCATTTCCTTCAATGGCCTTCATCATATTTCTTTTCTGCAATTTCAATCGCCGCCATCTTCACACAGCTATCGCGATTTCCACGCAGCTGCCATCCCGCGGCCAAGCAACAGGTTTTCTATTTCTCTTCTTCTCTTTCTCTCGGTCGATCAAGGATGGGGTAACGACAATCCATAATCGTCTGCAGGTTGTTGATGGCGACGGACGCGGTGAGATGGCTCAGGTGAGAGTTCTCAGGTGATTTCAATCACAGAACTTTTGGGATGGAAAACATCGGCTTTGAATCGGCAATTTTGGGACCCAATTACAGTTGGGTGGCGATGTGGCCGACTATTCCCACTGGAGCTGGAACGGGATTGAGGTTAGGGTGAGGGGGAGGAGATGGGTTTCCAACAAAGTATGGGTTTTCAGTGACGGAGAGGGCCCTGGGATTCTGGAAAGTGGTTGGGGCTAGGGAGGGGGCTATTGAGCTGGATGGGGCTTGGGCCTGGGGAATCGAGCCGGGGGATGCGTCGGCGGTCGGCGGTGTTGGTCAGCTGTGGGGCTGGATGGTATGAAGGTGGTCACCGGTGAGTAGGGCTGGGGGGCTGCCAGTTTAGTCACTCGCTGGTGGGTTTGGTCACTATTCGGGGGTTTGGCGGGACGGCGGTTGTAATTCTTTGGGCGAAGAAAGTCACTGGGTGGGCGGCGGACATTATATTTGTCACTAGGTGCTCGGGCGTTGGTAACCCGGCGGACATGGGTCACTTGACGGGTGGACGTTGGTCATTGTGACGTTGGTCACTTGACTGTAGTAACTGGAACGGTAGTAACTGAATTGTAGTAGTAACTGAATTGTAGTAACTGAGACGGTAGTCACTGGACTCTAGTAATTGGGACGGAAGTCACTGAAGCAATAGTAACTGAGAAGATTTTAAAAAAAAATTATGCTATTTATTTTTGAAAACTAAGATTAAAATAAAAAAGAAACATAAATGTTAAGCAAATGGAGGTTACGTAAATGGGGGTTTGGTGGTACAGAAGGCAGTGTAATGGCATGGTCTCGAGTTATTCAGATGCACCGTTAAACTTGGGAAGGGTAATTTAGAAAAGTGTGTGTTTATTAGTCACATTTGTGGAAACTAAAAAAAAAGGTCTCTTTTGTGTCCCTTGTCTATTTTTTAGTAATATTCATGCCAAAATCCCTATTAAGTAACACTTTCACATTCTTGTTCAATTACATTTCCTACCGCCGGATAAAAGATGTAGCAAAATTCCAACAACATTCCCGCAAAAAACCGGCTATTGAATTCAGCAAAATAACTACTACCAAGCATCATTGAAGATGCTAAAATACAAACAAGTCACATTCCCAACAGGTACCAATGTTTAGTTATCAAAAGTTTGACCTGCCTCTACATTCTACATACACAACATAATCTAAATGCATCTCCCCTTGCATATCATCAAGCCTTTGTAGGATCCGCTTGCACACTACATATCAACAAAATATAATATTACATCCATATATTAAGAAACTTATTTTTGGTAAATTTTAAATGTGAACTTACTTTTTTTTTATCAAAGTAGCAGCATACAAAGCCCACTCCTCATGCACGTGTAAAATATCATCTTCAGTATACTCCTTGACGGTAGAGAACTTCAAAGTAAAATTAAATTAATTAGCACTTACTATGATTACAAGATACATTAATTAATTAATTGCGCTCACATTCTGTTTCAAAAGATTCACGTCTGATACAATATCCTTCATGTACTTCATCACAAAGTAACCACACTCAACTCCTCCTGTTTGCTTAGGGCACTGCATATATTCAATTTAAATAGACAATAAATACAAACTAAGATTTACTAAAAACAAAGAATAAGTTATAGTAAAAAAATAATACAGTCAAGTATTGAATGGATTGCAATAATTCACTTCTTTAACTCACTTCTTTAATAAACAAATATTTTCTGGCCGGGACAGTTCATACTGATCAAAACTTGCGGCATACAAATCACAGCCGCTAATTTAAAAACTTGCAACTAATAAATATTGTTCCTAGGGATCGAGTATCTAAAATAAGAATAGAACTTAAAAAGGGATGATATGAAGGACCAATTGTGTTTAATAATCTGTCTTTCCATATTTCAAAAATGCAGTTTGAATTATGGACCTTACAACACAAAAGCTTAGTCAAAGGGATCTCACATGTAAGGTAAAATGCTATTCATATGAACAATATAGAATTAAAAACAATGGGTGTAAATTAAAAACAACTCCTAAACACATTCAAATTAAATAAAATTAATCTGAATAATAACTTGCAAGAGATGAGTATCTAAATTCAGAAAATAACTGAACAAACATGGTTCACAACAAAGATCCATTAATTTTAGTGAACTGCCTTATTTGCAAAAACAGCTCCTAAACACATTCAGATTAAATAAAATTAATCTGAATAATAACTTGCAAGAGATGAGTATCTAAATTCAGAAAATAACTGAACAAACATGGTTCATAACAAAGATCCATTAATTTTAGTGAACTGCCTTTCCGTACTACAAAACGCCAGTTCAGATTTCTGATCTTTAGTCAAAAGGATCTCACGTACAAATCACAGCCGCTAATTTAAAAACTTCCAAATTATCCAGTCAAGACATCTCTAATCATATATCCAAGCATAATAGAGTTTACACACATATGAATGATACACAATTTACACACATATATAAATTGTTGACTAGGATAAATAAATTTATATTGAAAGTGATAATAAACATCAAAGGGTACATACCATCACTCTCACCCATTTTAAATTCAACCTTTTCTTGGATTTTTGGGCATGATTAATCGTCACCCCTCTGAAAAGGAAACACAGTCATTATTAAAATTCAACCGATCCAATATTTTCTCATAAAGTGTACATGCAATCAAGATTTACATTTAAAGGGCCTATGTAACTTAATTGATTCACGATTTCCTCCAAATCCTTCGATGGAATTCCTCCCAAGGAATCTAGGTAGTAATTCGTTTCAGCCGCCATGTCGATGGCGACCAACACCAAATGATTCCTACATAACAATGAAACTATTTAGAAAAGCACCATTGTTTGCAAAAATACAAGTCACTTGCAAAAGAGATTGCTTACCCGGTATTATAGAGGATTAAAGTCATTTGTCCAAGCAAGGAAATATCCAAAAGATCAGCTATGTATTGGGACCTCCTAGTAACAGCTTGGTGTGATGCTCTCTTTGGTATTGCTATGACAGCAGAAGTACCAAACTGGACTGGCATGTCCCCTCCATCAGCCTTCATTCTCTCATGCAAGTACCTATTAAGTTATTACTCATCAAGTTGAATTAAGTTCATTCATTTTGATGTTTATAATAAGATACTCTTACCGCTTAATACTGTAATACAATAATGATTTTAATGCGCGCAACTAGTTTTTTTTTGCAATAGTTTATTCATATACAAAAGAGTATATGAAACTTTCATATAATGAAAGCAACTGTTAAAAACCTTCAGTTCATTTAATACTTCAGCTTGTGTTAGTTTATGTTAAAATGAACTAGTTTATACAGACTTCATAGTCCATTATAAGTAATGGTTAGTCTAGGGAAAATGACGGAAGAAAAAAACATAAATAAAAGAAGAGAACCCAAATATTATTTTGGATGGATGAAACAACTAACATATTGTTTTTAATTAAGAACATAACTTAATGGAAATGGTAAAGGTGTGGCCCAGGGTTTAAATCCCATGGAAATGGTAAACGTGTGGCTAGGTTGGGTTAAATTTTAAAAAAAAAATCTTATAACAAATTTAAAAAAATCTGTTTGGGATAAATTCTGTTGACATTCCCATAGAATAGCATTTGGGTATGTTTCCAGGCTCGCTACCAGCCAATTCCATTGTGAACTGGTTATCATCACACAAACAATTATACTATGTGGGGGTGCGGTGGGGGTGGGGGGATAAAACTAGCACTTTTAAAGCAAAAAAGAGTGGTTTACAAATAGTATTCCAATGCACTCCAACAGGAAACATAAATGGAGAAAATTTTGAGAACAGTGGAAAAGACAGGCAAACCAAAGAGCTTTTACATATCTTCATGAGCTATTGATGTCGCTCGAAGGACCGCCTGAATGGCCATATAAACACCTCCTGGGGTAATGACTAATGAGGCAGTTTATCTTCGAATTGATGCAAATCATGCAATGCAGAGGAATTTGCGTATCATAACTTGATTTTTTTCGATTTTTTTAATGTAATTTTTTTTTCATTACTTTCAGGGGGAACATAATAAAAAAAGAATCTGGGAGCATTATTGGAAGGATTATTGGAAGGATTTCATTATTAGATGGTAAATTTGAAGGATTACTAAGGGAGGAGGTACATACCTAAATTCGACCGTGAGATGCGAGGACAAACCGGTCGTGAGATGCGAGGACCAACCGGCCGTGAGATGCGCAGCAGACCGAAGAAACCGGCGGATGAGAGAGCAGGATCGATGGAGAAACTAACCGGTGATGGCCGGAGAATCGTGCGCACAGATAGGGTTAAACGGGAGAGAGGCCATCGATGATTCTGGAAGCAAGTCTGGAACGGGTTAGCTGAAGTATGGCACTAAGTGTATGGATATGTGTTACGTATAGTAGCTGGGCCGAGCGGCCCATCGATGCCGGCCTGGCCTTATTCCTTCCGTAAAAAATGTTTAGTGTCACTATTTGAGCCTGATGTATTTATGTTAGTAAATAGTGATACATTTGTGTTATTATGGCGTTTATATCAGAAAGCGTCACTACAAAAGCGTCACTGTAAGCCAGTTTTCTACTAGTGTATATAAACTTATCTCTATCTGTAGATAAAATAGTTAGAGCTGTTAGTATGTTAGAAACAGTAATCATAATTACATCCCCAAGCAAATAAATATGCTTATATCTTTTCCCGAAAGAACAACAAACATATCACTGAATAAAGATGTTTTTTATGCACACATATACTACGTATATCACAATAAATTTTGAGAACTTGGAAGTATAGGCTAAATTTGAGCAACCTGGAAGTGTACGTAGGCCGCAACCTACACATATATCACAACAAACATATCACAGATCATAAAATCCACCAACTCCATACAGTCCTCTACTTAATAAATTATCCAATTCATGTACCTGTTGATGTACACATATGCATCCCTTTACGGTAATATGGATGGCCTCGTTGTGTATATTACTGGAGCAAGAAAGGTCAGGTTCAGCTAGCCAGCTTGGATTACGCATTTTTGGAGCTTTTTCCTCGATTTTGGTTCCTTCATTTAGGATCTCCGATTAATGAGAAATATAAACCTCGATTTTAGGAGAAAGAACCCACCTGGGATGATATGGAGTCAATTGGACGGCAAAGTAAAATAAGATTGAGATACGGCGGCAGTTCAGAGAACGTGAACGATAGAAGTATTCTACGGACTTACAAATACGGAATAACATTTAGCCAAGGATAACATTTGCAATTATGGAATTTTTAATTGAATAGCTGACCTGGAGTAGATATCAAATAGGATCGAGCCATGTGTTGAATGCACCAAAACATTCACCAATGTAGAGGTACCGGAGTGCTACCCTTATAACATTTATTTAGAAAACACGAGAGAAAAAATAGGAGACAAAGCCGAAGCAGAAAACATAAAAAACTGAAGAAAACCCGGAGAAAAGAGCGGAAGAATAATGCTATGTAAGTACGTAACTACTTAAGCTATAAACCATTCACCCTAGCTATTTTTTTTTGGAGAGAAACCATTCACACTAGCTATTATTAAACCACATAAAGTGTACAAACGTAAGCATACATAGTCCTTAATCACTTTTCGTTAATGTATATTTTTAATTATAAAATTAAAACATATGTAACCAGATATGTTAATTGACACTAGATAGAATATACTTGGAATTGATAGTATACAAACGTGATCATAATAATGTTTTTTTTATCAATTTATCAGATACAAATTCTTTATGTAATAGGCTGTAATACACTTAATAGGACTCTAATACACATAAATATGTGATACACGAATGTAAACATACTCCTTCACTGCTTCCTTCCACTCTTCATCATATAATCAATTTTATAAACAATTAACAAGTATTGCAACTAACGTACTATTAGCATATTAACAACAATAAATCATAGAATTCATATACCTAAAAAATGATGGTTCCTCACCCGTCTTCCATAGTGACCCGTCTTACATAGTGTAATGTGATTGCATTGAACAAATCTCAAATAAAAAACAAAGTTAATCTAATAATCTTTACGTGTAGGCTGACCACTCATTGGAATAACTCCGCCAGAGTTAATCTAAATCACTTATTTCATACGAGCTAATTCTAAATGATGAAAAGGTATATTTAGAGCCTGTTTGGTAATATGAAAATTGGCTCAATCGGTTAATTCTGCTGAAATTTATGAAGTTCTGACTTAAGTGACTGGATTGGTTGATTCTGCTGATTTAAGAAAAAAATATTATTTAAAATATATATTACTAATAAAGAAAAGAAAAAAATATTTGTAAAATAGCTAAAATGGTCGTCTACAGTAACTTCAGCCAATACAACCAAATAAGTATCTTCAACCTTACTTTTTCTTATTATTACACAATTCAGCGCGCGAAATCAAAAGTTACGTGTTTGGTGAAAAGTTGGCTCATAAGCCTAATAAGTCGAAAAACAGGGTTACCAAACAGCCTCTTAAATTAGAGGTTATCAAATGTTAACTCTCTTTTGCAAATCTCTAATGTTGAAATTGTTTATATTTACGAGTGTATTTTTGAAGGTAAAAACATAGTCAAATTTACATGTGTTGAATGTATATTAAGATCAAATTTTATTTAAACATTTTATATTTTATATAATAAAACTGAGTTAAAATTCAATGATATGTCACTTCACTAATACTAAACCAACTAATTAATTGAAGTGAGTTACCAAAAAATCAAATTTATGCGATAAAAAATATATTATCATTACTACTAAAACAATTAATTAATTCATGGTTCATCACTACTATTCACTTCCTACCATCGTGCATCCACCGCTCATTTGGACCAAAGTAAGGAGAAAAAACCTATTCTTTTGAAGGATATAACTTTTGTATTTATACTCCAATTTTTCACAAATATATATCAAAACTCATAGGTTTTAATTATTTTTCATATAACACCAATATTAAACGCCTATTTTAAAAAAAGATCTATTTTTATATAGTAAAAATTAGTTAAACTTCTATTGATTAATTATAATCTATTATCACTACTACTAAAGCATTTAATTTATTGACTCGGTTCTTCATTGCTATTCACTTTGTGCATCACTGCTCATTTGGAGAAAGGGAAGGAGAAAAAATAACTCCATTTTAAAAGTAGGTGTAATAATTTTTTTATTTGTACTCCAATTTTTACAAAAAAAACTTCAAAATTCGTTACTTTTAATCACGGCAACTCATTTAATTTGGAGAAAGTGAATGACAAAGAATATCTTTTTTAATTATTGTAGGTTGCTTCCATTAAAATTAATTATGAATACTACTATTATTATAATCATTATCTATATGTTATTCTTATTCATAAAATAAAACATCATATATTATTACTATGATTAGACCAGCTTACAAAAAATTCAGACCACATAAGATCATATTTTAAAATATTCATATCATAAATATTAATATTAGGTGAATAGAACCACTTCTTAATATCAACCATAATAATGAAGTAGAATTCTCGGAATAAACATCAAATCAATTCAATTTCAAAAAAAATTGTGCAAAATCAAGTTATTTAAATAATGAGACTCTAATACACATAATAGGACTCTCTAGTCTCTACTCATAAAAAATTAGTCTTACATATTTGAGTGGGGCTCTAACGACGACCAATTTTTTTAAATAATGGAACTTTAGTTCACGTGAACGAGATCTAATCGCACAACACCAATAATACATGTGACTATCCAAAATAATATAAACTCCACACACTCCCAATTTCAATTCAACACTTCTTCTTATATATCATCCTTCATCATATAATCAACCATATAAATAATAAATACTCCAAAACTATTACAATAATTAGCACATAAACAACCATTTAACCAATGATTCATACTCTAACAGATGGTGATTTCTCACCCGTCTTCCATGGTGACCAGTGGTTTGTTCATAAAAGAAATGATCATAGGTAAAATTTTATGTCATATGAATAGTTTACAATATAATGTTAATTAATTGGTACTTGTCACTTGAATCCATGTCAAATTAACTAACACTATCGGGGCATGCCCCGGGTGTTACACTAGTTTAGGAGATTAAAATTTAGGGGAGATTATTGTATTGAGTTGCCAATTATCCTATTAAGGACATAATGAGAACTATTAAAAATAAGCGGTTGTACTTGGAATGTTTTTACTTGGACTGTTTTTAGTCGGAGACCATATCAAACCAGATCAGACCAAACCAAACTAGACCAGACCAGACTTGACTTTCATAGTTATAAAACACGCAAACACCAGATGTTTACCAGACCAGATAATTAAGACCACATTTAAACATAGCAGACCAGATCAGACCAGACCAGACTTAAACAGACCAGACCAGCAAATTATAGTCCAAATAAAAACATTTTAAAGAGTTCGGGTGTAATTTAAAAAATAGATTGTGCACATACCAAACGATGTATTTTAATTTTACATGTAAAATGTTTACTCCTCTAAATTTCACATGCAATCATTTCAAGTGTAAAGTTTTAATGTGTAAACTATCAAATGGACTCTAAGTAGCTAGATAAGTGGCTGCGAATACAATTTTTCCTCATCAAAATGACTAATATAATAACGACTCGTGATAACTTTCACATAGAAAACATAAACATTTTTGGGTTCGGCCGGTGCCTAGTAATAAGGCCCTTAATCGATATACATGCACCTAGCCACACAGCCCTTAATTTTGATTATCAACCTTCTTGAAGGGATGGCAATGGGCGGATTGGGAACAGTTTTACATATAACCGTACCCGCCCCGTTAGATAATTGTCCTGCCCCGTAACCGCCCCATTACCCAAACCATAACCGAACCAACGGGTAACGGGTAAAATTTCGGGTAACCGCGGGCAACACTTTATTAAATGACTCATTAATTAAATTTTTGATATAAAAATAATATTTCAAAAGACGAAAAATGACATTGCCTAGACGAGTCTAGAGTTCAGACGCCACTTTAAAGTTTCGTATATCTACAAGACGAGAAAGGAAGCAACTTAAATTAATTTGATATAAAATACTTAATCTAAAAAATAATTAATCACGAAAAAATATGATAAATCAAACAAGACTATTAAAATCTATTAAGAACTTTCATTCTACATTATAATGAGTACATCTACAATCTATATATACATAATGGAAAGAAAAAGTCTCATCTTTTAATAGTTGTTAGATAAATAATAGATAAAATGTAATAAAGATATAACTAAAAATAAACGGGGCGGCTACGGTGCTGGTAACGGGGCGGGCATGTATAAAACCATAAAAACAAAAGTGGTACATTCCCCGCCCCGTACCCGTTACCTGATCAATGCGGTTTTCCGATCCCCATTTTGAATGGGGCGGTACGTTCAGTGCGGATATCCATCGGTTCGGTCATAATTGATATCTCTATTCGTGAGGCGTGTTAATAATTTAACATCAAAAAAATGGAAGCCGCATGAGAAGTTGTAGACGCAGATGACAGTTGAGCAGCTGGCGGAACAGACTCCCAGTAGAGTGTGGAGTCCCCGCCGTAAAAAACTCCCTTCATACGTATATATACCTATTCGAGATACGTACATACATATTCCGTATTCCGTCAATTCCTCCATGAATTAATTGATCACCAAATTCAGTTTAGATTCATCACTCTCGCATGATCGATTTTTTCTGTTCTGGAGTACATCGACTTCTACAAGCGACGTACATACGTAGCGAAATAGATCATAATATGTTTAACGTAACAAATTAAATATATTATGGATCGATTAGCCGATTGTATAAATTAAATCGCACGTACTTATTATATATCCGGCACCGATCAGATCGATCGATAATAAGTAAGCCGGTGGCCGGAAAGTTGAGGACATATAATGGGTACGGAAGTGGCGGCTGATATAGAGGCACCCCCTTCCGCTTATAAAGTCAATGGCGGCAACTCTACCATCTTCAGGAAACCCACCCGTCCAGTTACTTTGAAGGTATATAATTATATATTACTGTAGTTTATGGTCCAAACCAATTTCTCTCATTGAGAATTGAAAAGGAAATACGATTTTATATTAGCTTCTTTTTTCTTATTTTTACAAAAAAACGAGTGTGAAGTTCAATTCTTTGATACAGTAGAAGTGCCCAATAAAACATAAAAGGAAGAAATGTTCTTTTTTTGAAGTCCAAAGTAGCTCAATCTAGGGTTTTCATTAATATACTACATTCGTTTAATCTAGTCGAAAGTGCCCAATCTAGTTTGTCAGTCTAGAAAAATATGTATTAATAATATACCCTAAAACAAAAATAAGGTGCATACGTAAATAGATCGAATAGAGTAGGAGCTCAATTAGGAGCGAATGTATTTGAAATTAGGAAGAATACAATGATGATTATATTTGTGCAATTTATCGGTAGTTCTAAATTATTTAATGAATTTTCACTTTTCAATTGATTGCCCTAAATGAGGGTATAAACATTTGTGAATTGAAGAACTTAACTAATACTACCTCCGTCCCAAAATTAACTTCTCATTCGGTTTACGATGCTTGACTGACGATAAAGCAACTCAATCCCTGCTCACACTCGGATTATTTTTAGTAAGCAAAATTTACATATTCAGAAACTACATTAAAGTCGCTACAAAGCCTGATCAATAAAATTTAAATTTGATAAAAAATTGATATAAAAAGTAAAAGATTACGAGTGATTCAAGTTGACCAATGAATAGTGACTGGGAAGTTGTTTTTGGGACGGAGGGAGTATGAGAGTATTTTCTGAGCTCTCTACAGGTTACTATTCATTTTTAGGGAATAAAGCATAATGCATCTATTTAATTTGAAGCTTCAAAATTAAATATTAATACTACTATTTCATGAATTTTTCCCAAATTTTTATAATTAGTCCATCGAACCAAACAAGTTTAGTTTGAGAATTAAATATAGAAATTGTTCCGACTAAATATGTTTTATTCCACAAATATGACTTATCTAATTTAGTCCTATTAAGAAAAAAAGTTTATAAATACATCTCTGAATAAGAGTGAACAAGTCGTATTTTGATAATAACTCAATAAAAGCCATATTTATAACTTAATTTAAGCAATTTATTTTGACATGCAGTTTGAAGATGTGGTTTACAAGATCAAGCCGAGCAAGAAAGAAGGTTTGTCGTTACTGATGAAAACGAGGAAACAGAAAGTCGAAGCCGAGAAAACGATCCTGAATGGGGTGACGGGTGCGGTGTTCCCCGGCGAGATGCTTGCGATGTTGGGTCCTTCAGGGTCCGGGAAAACCACCCTACTCACTGCACTTGGTGGCCGGCTCGGCGACGGAGGCCGTCATCAGCTCACAGGAAAAATAACCTACAACGGAAAACCGTTTTCAAACGCCATGAAACGCAACACCGGTTTCGTCCCTCAACATGAGATCATGTACCCTGAACTCACCGTCACGGAAACCCTAGTTTTTTCGGCCCTCCTCCGTTTGCCGAGAAGTCTGACGAAGTCAGAAAAGGTGAGAATAATAATGAGACTTAATCAGACTCGTAGATTTGACCTTCAGATAAAGTACTCCTTCCGTCTCTAAAATGCTTACGTCTTGAGGACATCCCAAAAAATTCTAAACATTTCTCTTTTTGAAAAGTTTTGTGTGGCTACTATTAATTTACTTTTTTTATTCAACAACAATCATATATTTTCACCTTATTCCTACTTTTTAAAACTCCTATTAAGTCAACCCAGGAAGTATTTTGCACGATGGGGGAGTAATAGACTCAATAGAGTAGTGCTCCTTATATGTTACAGAGTAATAAAGTTATACGGAGTACTTCATAATGTTGAATTCTCACATCCAAAACTTGTGAATGAATTAAGTTTTAGGTTAAGATTTGAATTATTCTTCCTATCAGGTTCATCTTTTAGAATGAAACTTCAAATATTGTAGTCTAATAATAACACTACTCTATTAAAAGGTTGCACAGGCGGAGGCGGTGATCGCTCAGCTCGGGCTGAGCAAGTGCAAGAACAGCCTGGTCGGCGGTTCTTGGATGAGAGGGGTTTCTGGGGGAGAAAGAAAGAGGGTTAGTATCGGACAAGAAATGCTAATAAACCCGAGCCTGCTTTTGCTGGACGAGCCGACGTCGGGGCTGGACTCGACGACGGCTCAGCGGATCGTGTCGACCATGTGGGAACTGAGTCAGGACGGCGGGAGGACAGTGGTGATGACCATCCACCAGCCGTCGAGCAGGCTGTTTTATATGTTTGACAAAGTGCTTTTGTTGTGCGAAGGAAGTCCGTTGTATTTTGGAAGAGGGTCGGAGGTTATGAACTATTTCTCCAGCATTGGGTTCTCTCCTTCTGTCGCCATGAATCCTTCCGACTTCCTGTTGGACCTCGCCAACGGTAAGGAATATATATGACCTTATTCTTGACTTTCATTATTTAATATGCATTCATGAGTACTCTTCCGGTCCCTCCTTCCTCACCGGAGCGCCTTCCGGCCTCCTCCTTTTGGGGAGGTTCCCGGTGGTATGTTTTGCTCAAATTGTTTGTGTATGTTCCACATCAAGTCTAGTTCATTCATACCAAATTTGAGCAAAAAATTCCATCGGGAAGGCCGTCAAATGATTTTTGAAAGTTAACTGGTCCGGAATATACATATAAAACGCAGTTAATTTTCAAAAATCATTTGACGGCCTTCCCGATGGAATTTTTTGCTCAAATTTGGTATGGATGGACTAGACTTGATGAAGAACATAGACAAAAAATTTGAGCAAAATATACCACCGGGAACCTCCCCAAAAGGAGGAGGCCAGACGACGCTCCGGTCAGGAAGGGAGGGACATGAATAATTCCTCATGCATTCATATTTTAACAAGTAGTCGCTAAAGTTTAAAGTTCTTGCTTCCAAAGTTTCATCCAATTCATTCCATATCTATTCAATGAATTTATCAAATTTGAGATGAACGGAAGAGTAACATTACTCTAATCCTTAATACTCATTTACATCTTACTAATTAACCATGAACAACTAAGTTACCAAATATTTTAGTTCAATGGGATCTTTAATGGTAGTATTGGCCATAGAAGCTAATAGAATTCATTAATATCAATCCGCTGAAATAATCGCCTATTAGTTAATTGCCACCGCTGATATTTGATCAAACACCTCCGAAAGATGTTTGTTTTTACTTAGACTATTATTCAGTCCCAGACCATCCTGATCAGACCTAAGCAGACCACACAAAACTTCAATGGTTCTAAAATACATAAATACTCCGTAACATATACTACTAGATCAGACCATATTAGATCAGAACAGATCATAAAATTTCAATCAAATTAAAAACATCTTAAGAGTTTATTATGCCACCAATACAGTTACCCCAAATGTCACGATGTTGTCATGGGACATGTCCCAATTTCTGATGAATTTTAAAAAAATGCAAAATAAAAAAAAAACCATAAATAACTTTTTGTATATTCTAAGGGTAGTACTTTGTCCTTTTTCCAAAAAGAAATCGACATAAATAGAAGTAGCAATGATATACTCCATCCGTCCCCCTATTATTGAGACCGGAGTGTCATGCCAACAAAGACAAAAGGGAATATTTGATAAAGTAACCCATCAAAAAGCAAATTACCAAGCATACTAAAGTATATCCCTGTTACTCCCTTATTAAATTTACTTTTTACTTTTCAAATAAGAAATGAGACAATAATAGTGAGACATTCAAAAATGAAAAATTGGATAATTATAAAGGTAGAGAGGGAATATATTCTAAAAATGGAGTGTCGTGTTTTCATTATCTAAATATGAGTATCTACTGATGTGTTTTGACATTACCTGAGTTCAAATACTATCGTATTTATTTAGGGGAGGATACAAATATAATATTTCTATTTTGGAATTTCAAAAACAAAAATTACTGATTTTTTAATTGAATTATTATACACATGCATCCAGGATTGGGTACAATCTTTTTTTTATGGCTGAACTTTCTCTCATACTTTATATAGTATTTGTTGTGTTACATATTAACATCATATTCAAACGTGTAACTTCCTTCTTGAACCGTGTACAATTTATGTATACAATTTATGTACTAATTTGGTGTACAAATATAATTTTCTAGTATCTTTAGACTTTGAGCTGTGCTAGGTGTACACATTTTGGTGTACACTTTTCATAAATTTGTGTGTCTTACGCACAAACAATTGTCTGTCCATAGATAACTTTACAGAATTGTCTGTAGACAGTCAATTGTTTGTGAATGAGACAGAAAAGTGTATAAAAAATATATATACCAAAATGTGTATAACAAACATTTTTGTTCAGATATAATCATGTATTGGTACGGGAAAAAATTCGTGAATTGCTGAAATGAGTGCAGGTGTTCCGGGCGACGATTTACGTGAAAATCAAGCAGCAATAAAGGAGATTCTGGTTTCCGCTTTCAAAACAAATCTGTTAGAAACGTTGGAAGATGAACTGCGGGAAACAAAAACAGGGGATGAAATTTCGTCGAATTCCGCCGGCTACGAGAAGCGTTACAAAGGATGGTCAATTACTTGGTGGGAGCAATTTACAGTGCTGTTGAATAGGGGTTTGAAACAGCGCAAGTCCGACTCCTTCTCCGGCCTAAAAATCGGCCAAATTTTAGTCGTAGCCTTACTTACCGGCGCTTTGTGGTGGAAATCCGTCGACTTGCAAGATCAGGTAACTAGTGCTATAAATACTTACTTAATTGTTGATCATGTTATGCAATTAGTAATTGTGTCCAGATTAAGAACTTTATATTATAATAATAGAATGTATGGAACACTAATAATTAAAGAGGTCCTCATGATATATCAGAATGTTAATTAGGTCCTCGTACTTCAAATCAATCAATTAGATCATCAAACATGTAAAAAACGCTCAATTGAGCGATTTACCGAGTGAACAATAAGGGCCTGTTTACTAACAGAAATATTTTCCAGTTTTCCAGAAAACTGGAAAACTGGAAAACAGAAAACAGGAAACGTGTTTACCAAAGAAAATCCTGGAAAACTGGAGAAAGGAAAAAAGAAAAACGCGTTTACCAAATCGTTTTCCAAAACGTAAAAAATGAAACATGTCTCTCTTTTCCTTAATGATTTGGAGAAGTGACTTTTACTAGTTTTCCAAATTTGGAAAACGCAGATGCTACAGTGCCTTTGCAATGAATTTGCATACTTACACCTAGTGGTGGGTCCGGTCCCGCTCCGATGTCGATTCCATTTCGGTACCTCCATCCTCGTACCTTACCCCTACCCTACCCTACCCTACCCACCTACCCCCACCCCACGTACCCATTTTTCCCTATAAAGACCTTACCCCACCCCCCACCACATGCCCCGACCTCGGCCCCACCCCGATCCACCTTACCCTACCGCCACCCCCCTACCACCTCGACCCCACCTCGATCCACCCTACCCTACCGCCACCCCCCTACCACCTTGACCCCACCCCGACCCACCCTACCCTACCCCCACCCCTCGTATATTACCACTTACCCCCTACCTTACCCCTTACCACATGCCTCCTACCTCGGCCCCACCCCACCGTCACCCTACCTCGGCCCCACCCGGATCCCGGGCCCACTCTACCGCTACCTTACCCCAACCCCAAACCCTACTCACTACCCCCACCCTTACCGCCATCCTACCCCTTCCCTACCCCAGCCCCACCCTGGTCCCAACCCCACCCTACCGCCATCCTATCCCAACTCCCTACCCTACCCCTACCTTACCCCAACCCCACCCACTACCCCCACCCTTACCGCCATCCTACCCCCCACCCTACCCCTTCCCTACCCCGGCCCCACCCTGGTCCCGACCCCCACCCTACCGCCATCCTATCCCAACTCCCTACCCTACCTTACCCCAACCCACTACCCCACCCTTAACCCTAACCACGACCCTAACCCACCCATTACCCCCACCCAACCCCTACGCCTAGACCATAACTTCCCTACCCGACCCCTACGAGTAGGTATGGGTGGGTATGAAGGGTTGTGGTGGAGTATGGGTAGAGTGTAAGATCGTGTTAAGGGTAGAGGTAGGAGTCAAGGGTGTGGAATTGGAGAACTGTGTGAAAAAATTGATGAACATGTTTTCAAATTTGAAAATGGAAAACTAAAAAATAGAAACAGAAAATTGGAGATAGAAAAACTGAAAAATAAAAACAGAAAATTGGAGAACGAAAAACAGAAGTAGAAAACAGAAAAATATCTCTGTTAGTAAACAGGCCCTAAGTTTTCCAGGTAAAGTATATAAGAAGATTTATGGCTACTCATTAATTCTGTCGAATAGAATCCCGAATCTTAACAACTTCAACCGTGACTAAATTTATAATTCTGTATGTTGTGCTTGAAATATAAATTGCACTGGAAAAAATGAACTAACAAAGTGCTACAAAGAAAACTTAGAGCTGCTCTTTCTATGAGGATGGAACCAGAACCTTCGGGCCTGTTTACTAACAGAGATATTTTCCTGTTTTCTACTTCTGTTTTTTGTTCTCCAAATTTCTGTTTTTATTTTTTTTTAGTTTTTCTATCTCCAATTTTATGTTTCTATATTTTAGTTTTCCATTTTCAAATCTCAAAACATGTTCATCGATTTTTTCACCCAGTTCTCCAATTCCACACCCTTGACCCTACCCGACCCTTACCACGATATTACACTCTACACATACTCCCCCACAACCTTTCATACCCACCCATACCTACTCGTAGGGGTCGGGGTTGGGAAGTTATGGGTGGGGGTGGGGTAAGGGGTATGGTCGGGGGTGGGGTGGTAAGGTCTAGGGTTTAGGGGGTTGGGTGGGGGTAGTGGATGGGTTAGGGGTAAGGGTGGGGTAGTGGGTAGGGTTGGGGTAGGGTAGGGAGTTACGATAGGATTGCGGTAAGGTGGGGCCGGGGAACAGGGTGGGGCCGAGGTAGGGAAGGGGTAGGATAGTGAGTTGGGATAGGATGGCGGTAGGGTGGGCCCGGGATCTGGGTGGGGCCGAGGTAGGGGAAGGGTAGGGTGGGGGTAGGATGGCGGAAGGGTGGGGGTAGGATGGCGGTGGGGTGGGGCCGAGGTAGGGGGCATGTGGTAATAGGTATATACGGGTGGGGATAGGGTGGGTCAGGGTGGGGTCGAGGTGGTAGGGGGGTGGTGTAGGGTGGATTGGGGTGGGGCCAAGGTAGGGGCATGTGGTAGGGGGTGGGGTAGGGTCATTATAGGGAAAAATGGGTACGCAGGGTGGGTAGGGTAGGGTAGGGGTAAGGGGTAAGATACGAGGATGGAGGTACCGGAATGGAATCGACATCGGAGCGGGACCGGACCCACTACTAGGTGTAAGTGTGCAAATTCATTGCAGCGACACTGTAGCATCTGCGTTTTCCAAATTTGGAAAATTAGTAAAAGTCACTTCTCCAAATCATTAAGGAAAAGAGAGACATATCTCATTTTTTCCGGTTTGGAAAACGATTTGGTAAACACGTTTTTATTTTTCCCTTTCTCCAGTTTTCCAGCAATTTCTTTGGTAAACACGTTTCCTGTTTTCTGTTTTCCAGTTTTCCAGTTTTCTGGAAAACTGGAAAATATCTCTGTTAGTAAACAGGCCCTTCCATTTTAACATGGAATTGCAAAACTTACACATGACTAAATTTATAATTTTGTATGTGGTGCAGATTGGGTTGTTATTTTTCTGTTCATCATTCTGGGGATTCTTCCCACTGTTCCAAGCAATATTCACATTCCCAGCAGAGAAGAAAATGCTTAAGAAGGAAAGATCATCAGGAATGTACAGGCTCTCATCATTCTTCATGGCAAGAACCGCTGGCGACCTTCCCATGGAGCTCGTCCTTCCAACCGTCTTCATGCTAATAACATACTGGATGGCAGGTCTAAAACCAACCCCAGGCCACTTCTTCTCCACCCTACTCGTCATCCTACTCTGTGTACTGGTCTGTCAAAGTCTCGGGCTAGCCATTGGTGCAATCGTTATGGATCAGAAGTCCGCAACGACTCTCGGGTCTGTCATCATGTTATCTTTCCTTCTCGCTGGGGGTTATTACGTCAGGCATGTCCCTAAGTTCATAGGATGGATAAAGTATGTATCCATTGGGCAGTATACATACAAGCTTTTGTTGGAGACACAGTTTAAGCCGGAGGAAACTTATCTTTGCCCCTCCGCTGCGGCGGGAGGAGGAGGGATGGTTTGTTTGGTTAAGGATCATCCTTCTATTGAGAGAGCTGAGCTTGGGAAACATGTCACCTTTTCTGTTGTTGCATTGCTCATCATGCTTGTGGGTTACAGGCTGATTGCATATGTAGCCTTAATGAGAGTGGGAAGAACCAAGTAGTTGTTAAATAAGTAGCTTATATTTGGTAGTTCTTGGCTTGTTAGTAGATGCATTTTCTGAAAACCTATACTGAATAAGTTCATTGCTAGGTAATTAATCACCTTACCATTTGTTAAACTCCCATTTGTTATGATCATATTATCTTGATGTAGACATTACACGAAGTATATTAAAGCGCGAAATAATGATTTTGTTAAGAAACACAATTTACAATGATTAATGGTGTGGAAGATTATATAAAAGCATTATTAAGGTATTTCATTTGGAGAAAATATAGATTACATAGTAACATAGCCACATGCTCACATAGGAAATGTACTATTAAGTTTTTCTTTTTACGAGAAAAACTTAATTTATTTCAGTATTGTTCAAAATACGAGGGATATAATGAAAAACCTTACAAAAAGCATAGGTATCAGGTAGTAGTAGATACCCGAGTTAGAGAGGCACAATCTAGCACAAACTAAAATGTACGTAGTCCTTCCCTCTCATAAAATTATGAATTTTATGGATGGAAGGAATATATGATTGGCAATGTCAGAGGTTTGGTCGCTATTATTTTTTATTGGGAAAAAGGTGCAAATAGGCCCATGTACTAACCAAAAAAGGTCAAATAAGTCCTTATTTAGGAGGCTCTGTCCGGCCGTCGTCATTTGGGGTGTTTTCCGGTGGAATTTTTTGATGAAATTTTTTTGAGCATCTTATTCATCAAGTCTAGTTTACTCATACCAAATTTCAGCTAAAACTTTAATCGGGAAGACATTCAAATGAATTCTTGAAGATAACTGTGCTTCTAACTGCGCAGTTATTTTCAAGAATTCATTTGAATGCCTTCCCGATTGAAGTTTTAGCTGAAATTTGGTATGAGTAAACTAGACTTCATGAATAAGATGCTCAAAAATTTTCATCAAAAAATTCCACCGGGAACCACTCCAAATGGCGACGGCCGGACAGAACCTCCTAAATAAGGGCTTATTTGACCTTTTTTGGTTAGTACATGGGCCTATTTGCACCTTTTCCCTTTTTTATTGTAAGACTCTTGCATTAAGATTGAGTGATGTTTGGTCTACTTCAATTGCTTGTGGTTCAGGTTTTCCCATTAATGGATCAGCGAGTTATATTGTTTGTTTGAAGGTGATTAACTCCAAGTCTAATTCGAGGGCTGATGATTGTCTGTGATTCCTTACTTATTTTACTCTCTTTCCGAATGTTAATGCTTTGAATTCAATATAAGTCCCCCTCTTCCAAAAAAAAATTGTAATAATCTTCCAATTGGTCTAAAACGCTAAGTTACAGCATTGCATTGTAGTTATAGGCCTTGTTTGGTAATCAGCTGTTAGCTATTAGCTGGTTAAATTAGCTGCTTTGACCGGCTGATTGTTTTAGTTGTTTAGACCGGCGGATTGGATTAGCTGATTCTTTTTAAGTGTTTGGTAAAATTAGATTTTGGCAAATATAAAGTATGAACTTATCCAACTTCTATAAAATTTTATTAAAATTATTTAGTTTGAGTGGTATATTTCATTTGATTAAAGGACGTAAATCTTAGAATAATCAAAACTTTAAATACAAATAATTGATGTACTAAAAAGGTATTTAGTTATATAAATTAAATTTATTACGGAGTATTAATTTATTTATTTCTGTATTTATTTAGTTATTTATTTTTTGATATATTGATTTATATATTTATTTATTTACTTACTTATCTATTTATTTATTTAGTCATTTATTTGATAGACTTTGACTCTCGACCTAGAGCCACTATCATTGATATAAAGTAATACTTCCTACACATCTCTAAAGATTGAAAAAGGAAAACACAACTAAGTAAATGACCACCAGCGTGGCGATTCTGCCAATTAACGAAGGGGAGAGAGGAGTGGCGAAGGGAAACCCTAGCCGCCGCCTCTTCCTTCCTTCTTCTCTTCTCTTCTTTTGACTTCAATCATGGAAAAAGTTTTGTTTAATCAGTATTTTCAGTTCTATCTATACATTTATTTCCTAGCGTTGTCTAGAGATATTATTTTCGGTGGCGAAGTGTCGCTCGCCAGATCTATATTCCCCGCCATCATCGGTCGGGTGTTCTTGTGTGCTAGTAAGAGGTTTGTATTGGCTTCTTTGTCAATCATGAATCAGGATTTCTTCTGCATCGATATAGAGGTCTACCGCCCCCTTCTGAACCACCGCCGATCTAAGAAGATGACATTGGATGGATTGCTTTCTTTCTAGTGGTTGGTCAAACCGGAACAATTTCTGCACTTGGCTTCTTACTGGTGGCTAGAAAAACCGGCAAGTTCAATAATTTCTTTTCGGTGGCTGGTCAAGCTGAACCCATTTCGAGTAGAATGAGCAGACACATTGCGGTACGAGTCTACATTGTTGCAGGGTTAGCGAACACGAGTGCTTTTATAAGGCGTTTTTGTTCTTTGTCTCACCCTAGTGTATTGAACGCTATGATTGTAATGCTTCGGCTTTTAGTTGTTATGTTTCTTATTAAGATCTGATTATCAATAAAATGGTTATTTTATTTTTAAAAAAAAACAAGTAAATGACCCCAGCCCCACCACGGTTACAATCCGAGAAAGCATGGCCAATGATAACTTAACACCTGGGACCAGAGGTTTGCAAAATGGCTAAGGTTCCAAAGGACACGCTTGTCGCGTCGTCCTCTCCAAAATGAAGGACGACAGACCCGCAAAATGGCCGAGACTCCGAATTCCTCCAAATACTTAAAACGATTCTGAGAGGTTTAGTGTGACATCCATAAAGTCCGACCCCAACGGCTTATGAGGTCGGGAACCATTAAGTGAGGCGAAATGCCATAAAAGAGGCGGCATAAACCCCCTCATCTGATCCTCGGACCCAAAGTTATGCAAATAGATCATTACCTTCTCGCTCCAAAGACTAAAGAGAAGTAAAAACAAAGAGTTGAGGACATGACACCTAGACAAAGGCTTTCCAAGCATTTACATCAGTGGGTACTTTGGCCATTTAGAGAGGGTTTCTGCAAGGGAAGTCAAAAGGCATCACATCATTTCAGGGACATGCGAGTGTCGACCTCTAGCTTGGAAATAAGGCATCCATCCTCTATGTGCTTTCCCATGTCACCACCGGGCTACTCAGCTTCCTCATCAACAACATCATCTTAATTCACCGAGTTAATGATGGGATCATGCCTCTCGGCCAATTGTTTCTTCATCTCTTTAGGTGGATCATTCATCACCGGAGGCAGACCATAGCTGGCAGGGAAGAAGTCCCTTATCTCTTCGGCATATCTTGCAATACATCGGTAGTTTCATGTGTTGCTCATCACCCTTGACATAAATGAGCAAACCATCATTGACCATGTATGTCTGCCCCTCGGGGTGAACAACCACTTATCATGCCAAATCGAAATAAAAAAAGTGCACCCAGTCTTAAACCGAGGAAGGATCCCATCCGCCCCGGCTTTGGCCTTTCTCAGCAGCAGCCGCTTTGTCCTTTTCCTTACCTTTGGACATTATTGCCAAAACGATGGCACTCTTCTTTTAGGACTCTTCGGCAGTAGACTTCACAGCCATTAGCTCTGACACCTCGGCAAGTATCTTCTCCATGTCCACTTAGGCCCGCTCGTACACCTCACGGTCCTGCTCCACTTCCTCAAGGAAGAATTCTTGCAGTTGTCTTTCCCAACATACCTCTACAAAAATTAGATAAAGTGTAGTAGGAGAGAAAGTGGGTAAAGGCATAAATGTAACATTATAATAAAAACTTGCCAAAAAGTGTGAAGTTTACTTTGGATCTACCCAAAATAAATTATAAATTTGAAATTGAAAAATAAAATAAAAATGTACTTGTATCCAATTCTCCCTTTTATTATTTTTCTATCAAAATTTAATATTGTTGGTGTGAAATATTATTTCAAAACTATATATTAAAGATTTCTTTCGAAAATGTTTTAACATATGTGCTGCAATGTAAAAAAATCATTCACTTTTTGTATTCTCTGTGCTATAAAATTGCATATTTTGTATGATGATGAATACTTCAAGATTACAAAATAGTGAATTTAATCTTATTAATGTTAAACAAAATCAAAAAATGTTATTTTAAAAATGTAACAATGTGTTTAAATCTAACATCTTTATTTTTTAATCTTTAATTTTTTTTTTTTCAATTTCAAATATAAAATATATTTTAGATGTTTTTAAAAATTTATTTTATTTATTTAAACTCAATAAGAGTAAGTTTTCTCCCTTAGAGCAACATGAATAGTACTTTTGCACATTTTAAAAGGTCAATGATACATATACACTTCTACATAAACAGATAAACTTAGGGTATATTTATTTTAAATAAATAGAATATGAATATATTTGACTCAAATACATTCTCCATGAATTTGTACATTTTCCTTTGAAGTAGTCAAGTACTAGTAAGTTTTACTTATTTAAGTATTTTACATCGGAAGACTTATCCTTTTGACCATGGTAGTCCGCCTCTTTGACCGACGACGCCTCCACTCGACCCTCGAGAATTATCAGCACTGCCGTAGTTTTGCGAGCAAGTACAGCGGCAGGGTGGTTGCCGAAGCTGACAATGGCCGCTCATTCGCCATCGAAGTCGACTCACCGACCTTCCAAATGGACGCTCGCGGCTATGTTCTTCCCCGCCGAGACATCATTTGCAAGGTCTCTCAGATTCTCCAGGCGCCTTCTTCTCCCTCGTCGGACCGCTTCCTTGACCTCTCAGAATATCTCGATACCTTGTCTCTAGCTTTAACTCCCTCGGAAGCCTCAGAAGTTTTCAAGTCTCTCAAATCTCCAGCCCTAGCTCTCAAGTTCTTCCAATTTTGCCCCGCGAAAATCCCTAGTTTCCGGCACGACGCCTTCACTTACAACCGCATCATTCTCATCATGTCCAAATCATCCCTCCCAACCCGCCTCGATCACATCCGAGAAATTGTGAGTGAAATGGAGCGGTCTCGTACACGCGGTAACATTTCCACCGTTAATCTTCTTGTAGGAGTTGTTGGGAGCTGCGAAGGGGAAGATGGTAGCCAGCTGAACCGGTGGTTAGATTTGGTCAACAAATGGGAGTTGAGGTTTACTTGCTATACGTACAAGTGTCTTCTTCAGGCGTACCTGAGATTGAGCGACTCGAATAAGGCTTTTGGTGTTTATCGAGAAATAAGAACGCATGGATACAAATTGGACATTTTCTCATA